CCCCCCCCCCCCCCCCCCCCCCCCCCCCCCCCCCCCCCCCCCCCCCCCCCCCCCCCCCCCCCCCCCCCCCCCCCCCCCCCCCCCCCCCCCCCCCCCCCCCCCCCCCCCCCCCCCCCCCCCCCCCTTCACATCATGAAGCGCATATATAAGTTGCCATATATTTGCTAAAATTTGCTCCTTAAGAGTAAATTTCTGAGAAAAGCAGATAATCATGGGAACGATGTTTTTTCAATCAGCTAGTTCTCACATATGTTTTAGCCCTGCTCAAATTGAGTATAATCTGCAAATTTTATGGTTTGACGTGAGCTAGAAAAAATTTTCTATCATCAGTACGCAAAAATCAAAATGCGTATTTTTTGATTTCTTGGCAATCATGTTACCAAATTCTTAGCGGTTTGTTGAAATAGAGAGGCAAGAGTAGTCCACACATTTTGATATTAGGCATGCAAGTTTTCTTTGTCGCAGTTTTCAAAAAATTGTTTGTATTTTCGGAACAACGAACTGTGCAGTTTTTTTTCAGAAATCAGCATTTTTGTACAGGAAACATTTCTCTACAAGATGGCATATAGTAGATATTTTTAAAGTTGCTTAGTTTCGTTAAAAAAACGTTTTTGACAGAATGACCCAGCAGTGAAAAACTGCGTTGTTGCGAAAATACAAACCATTTTCAAAAACACGAAAAAAAACTGTTAAAAATCTGTTGCATGCCTGTTTGATATATAAATCAACGTTATTACGCGCCATCTTGTTTGTCTAGAAACAATATATATTAAAATGTATTTTGAACCTAGAGATAAGGGCCAGCAGGATTTTTGATATTTTCTACATCGTATCACACTAGAATCAATTGCCCATCGTTTGATATAGTTTTCAACTTTTGGTAGTGGATTGACGAAGTGACACTTTTTACTGTTTTTTGTCATAGCGTCACGGTTTTTCTCGTTTTTCTTTGACTAATTCAGATTAGTCAGAATAGTTTCGAACTTGACGAGCTATCACATCTTGTAGAGCAAACAATTTTCTACAAATTGGTGTACTTGTTCAATTTTTGCCAGATCGTCTTCACTCTTTTAGCCACGCTTTTTAGATATTTTGGGGCTGTTTGTACAACAGCTGTATTTGCATAACGAATAAACGTTCAGAGCCGAAACACTTTTCATTTTGTAGAGAAATGTTTAATCTACTTAATTATCTAGTTGCTGTTTTAGATTAGTTTGTAGCTTTATTGCAATAACTTTTTGAAAAAGAGCAAAAAATGAGGCCGTTAGCTGGACAAGCCGCCTATTTGTTATACAGTCGTAAAAAAGAATTGAATAAGATATTTTTTATGTATAAAACACTGCACATAATCGATGTTTTGTTTGTTTTTATGAAAGCCATTTGTTTTATTCTCTTTTGTTATTCATGTGGTTAGATACAGCAGTTCTCAATCATCCTCCATTGACTGTCTGATTTTTTATGAACTTCACTCTTAACATTTATAATACTAACTGACTCGAGTCACTTTCGAGTCAGTCATGTGCAGCTTGGGGTTGTTATTACGGTGTTTATTATATTTGTTGTATACCAGAAGAGAGAGAGATTTGAGAATATTCTAAGTAGAACATTGCGTCACATGAGAGGATTGAAGATCTGTTCTTGGAAAAATGAATTAGTAAGAAGTTTTCCTCTTGAAAATCACTCGAGTCAATTTCTGATGCGACTTGGACTCGGACCTCGACTCGAAGGCTACTGACTCTAACTCGACTCAGACTCGAAAAAGTGGTGACTCGCCCATCTCTGCTACAACAGTTTTTTGGTGTAAACATATCGCCATTTAATGAGAACAGATATATACGGATATTCATTAGTATATAGGATGCCATACTGGAATCTTTCCGAAACAGTGCTACTAAAATTTCAATACATTTACTATAAAAGTTGTTGACAATATTTTCATTTAATTCAATTACAGAAATATTCGATGATAAAGTATGTTTATATTGATTGGTAGTTAGATATCTGATTACTAAATATTGTGTAAAGTGTATGTATTACTATATTTTTTAGAAAAGGGTGATTATTGGGGTGATTATTCTATTGTTCACTGCCGTTGCCTTGATAAAGAGGTTTTGTTATTGTAAATAAACCAAGGTAATTAGTCTAATAAAATATCCTTGCATCCATGTTCTTTATATGTTTATTTAATTATTGTTAAATTATAATCACTACAACTAAACAAGATAACATAAAGTACATTGTACATCACACCATTTCTCGACTATGGTTTGGATTACAATAAAAAACTCAAATAGAATTAGTTAATAATTGTTCTCACAAAAATCAGTTTCACAATAGATACAATACAATTTAAACACGAGATGTCGATTTCTTAAAGGGTGATGATCTTTTTAATTTTTTCTTTATTTACAAAAATCGAATATTTACACCAAGCAAAATCTCATAGCTCGTAACTATGAAACATTTTTTCAAGCAAAATCATGATTACATTTTAGAAGTTTTAAGACCCTTTCTATAGTTGAGAAGGAATAATTTTATCGCTATATGCTGTTTACTTAAACGACAAGAGTCTCAACTTTTGGTGATTACTTAAATTATTATCCATGATATGTAAAATGATAGATCTTCAATACTGTTTCTATCTAGTGAACAATGGACTAAAGAAAAACAAATAAGATCCGGGTACAAAGATCGATGACATAAGATGGTAAAAATTTTCATTTGTTTTCTTTGTTTTGTGCTCTACATTACAAAAATATTTTATTCACAATGTAAAAAACAGAGACAGATATAGTCTAAAGAAAATATGATGACAAAACGAGGACAAAATTAAGTTATAGACCAACGTTTATGTGATATATAAAAATGATTTGTGGTTAATATTACCGAAGAACATAAAAAGCCTATCTATACAGGTGTTATACCGCAAAAAAATTTTGTTCGATGTCACGGTATATCATTTTCACCCAATTTTTATTCTTTTTCTCATGAAAAAGAAAAAGCACGCTGTCTAACCACAATGATCGATTACTAACCAAAAAGACATATTTTCATATTTTTTTCATCTTGCTTTCTGATCATCTTATTCTTCCTATCCAATTGTCATTGAAATAAACCTGCAGCTTAACGAATTACTATTTAGAAGAAAAATAAACACAAATCATCCATTTGTTGGCCTTCTAAAATTTGATATTTTCTTTTTTTCATTTATTATTGATTGTAAACGGGTTTTATTGTGCAGATTCGACGATTTAATAGGAGTCTATACCCATGTTAAAAATCGAACAGTGTGTGTCGCATTAGTTTAGTTTTTCATCATTAGTAAGTAAGAAACAGAAAAAGAGCATTTCTGTTTTCAGACATATGTTTACCTACTTTTGGAAAGTCTATGAGAAAAGATGAGCTATTATATCAAATCTGCCATAAGGAGAAATTATTTTAAAAAAATTCTATTCATTTGATGACTTTGTGTAATAAAATAGAATTTTGAATTTTTTGAAATTAAAGACAATTGAATGAGTTGAATTACACATGATTTTGTCATACTTTATCAGTTTTACTTAAGAAATACTGTGTATAATGGTTTGTTTTAGAAAGTCAATAAACTCTTGAAACTCATAATGGGTCCTTACAATCAGCAATCGCGAAATCAGCGTAGAAGTGGATCATCAACAAGCAGTTCGACTTCTATAAATGAAGTTAAATATGCACCAAATCAAGGAGCAGGTTTTGCTGGACAACAATATTTTTCAGGATCTAAAGGACAATATCCAACGGGCGGCTACACTCAGTCATATTATGGATAGGATAGTTCAAGTATTGTGAAGAGTTAGATTGAAAATGTTTATATAGGGCTCCCATCCTGTCTCGAAATAGCACAGTCCACAAAATTTTGTCCGTTGATTCACTAAAATCCTACTAAATGGTTTCACTACTAAGAACGGCTTTTTTCCCCTACTATTCTTGCTTGTATCAGAGAATTTTTGCTACCATCATCCATCCATACCGACTTTGTTTTTCTTGACCAACTGCTTATCATCGTCATATGCACGTTTTCTTTTCGCCGAGTGGCACTAAAGAACGTATGGAAAAAAGAGCGCATGTGCGATCTTTGATCGGTTGGATCGGTCTGACATTAGTCCACTTCAAATGAACGATATTTTACCAATTTGTTTAGTAGAAAAAAATGAACATTAGGAAAAATTGAACTGTATGTAATTAATTTCCTGTTATTGTAGCGAAAAGAATGCTATAAAAACAGCGGATCCTCACAAATAAGAACGGATAACGATCTTTGATATAAGAATGTTTTTTACAGGGACGTCCATAACGGGTTCGGACTGAAAGACTTGATTTAGTAGATATTTTAATAATCAAAACTATGATAGACAATATATGAATAAGCACTATCAGATGGCGGTTATGGGGGTTATGGTGGAGGAATTGGAGGTGGATTTAATAGTGAAGCATCAGGTTGGTTGCTGCACTTGAAGTACGTCCATGTCGAATAAGAAAGAGATCCAATGATAGTTAATAACTAAACTATTCAGAATGATTATTTTTCTCTCATATTCTCGTTACGATAGTAGAGAAAAACAGCAGTCTGTTGAGAGAAAAACTCAGTTTTATGTGAAAATTCTTCATCACTGAACTATATTTTATAATCTCAGACGTTTGTAAAAACAGTGGACCAAAAGAAAAGTTTGACTTTTCATGGATGTCTTTAAAGGAAGACCTTTTATGGTGGCTCTTATGGTGCTTTGCAAACAAATGGTCATCGACGACAAGGGCGCTACCGACGACAAGTGATTCGAGTGCCAGGTCAAGGGCAAGGACAAGTACGCCAAGTTCGTCAACGTTTGCCGACGCCTGAACCGGATACATTAGAAAGAGTTTATATACAAAGTTCCGGGCAAGAAATAATCGAAGAAATAACTGAAATTCCAACTACTCCACCACCTCAAGTACACGAAAAAACCATTGTTGAACCTTCAGGACCACCGCAGGTTATTAGAAAAGTTATACGCGTACCACCAAGAAGTGGAGGATATTCCCAAGGAGGATACGCTCAGCAGGGAGGCTACAGTGGTAGTGGAAGTTTTGGAACGATAGGACAAGCACAAGCGAACTATGGTGGTTATGGATCTTACGGATCAGGTTCAGGAGGATATGAACAATATGGGCCAGGATACACCCAAAATTATGCTCAACAAGTTGTTCCTTCTTATTCAAGCGGCCATACAATACAAAGCTATGCACCAAGTAATTTTGGGCAGGGGCAACAGTTATACGGTGGATATCCACAATATGGTGGACAACAACAAACTAGTTCATTTTACGGATATCAGCAGCAACAAAGACATGTACAACCGCCCGTGGGCGTGTCGCCTGCTTTTTGCTTCTATGTCTAATAAATAGAATATAAATAGGAACAAGACATTCGACAAAGTATAACCAAAAGCTGAACCTGAAGGACTTGAACGTTGACAATATAAACAACAGTTTTAGCTTTTTTATATTATACTTTACACTTAAAAGACAATATGGAATACATCATGTGGCCTCAAACGTTACAGAATTGTGTTCAATAGTAAAAATTGCTATTTGTAAAACTATTTTCATTCATGCGAGAATAAAATCAAAACGTACATTGGATACACAATATCATGACACATCAATCATTTTGACATTAACCTATTAAAATACTCGAATTGCTCTCAATTTCGATGCTTAATTTCTTAACACTTTCATCGAGCCAGGCATCATTAGAACAAATACAGAAGCAGTCTAGGTGTTGACTAGGTGTTTCCGGTGTAGACTAGGTGTTTCCGAATAAAAGAACACCTAGTCTAGTCTTGTAACATCCCTAATTGTAAGAAAATGGTGCAGAAGATTAATTATGTTCACAAACTATGAAAAAATGATCGATCCGTATGTCATGAATAAAGCCTAAAGAAAATAACACAGAAAGAGAAACTATACTACCGTTTTTCTGTTATCCTTCACAACATAATATGATTTTGGACTAGAACGCTTTAGGAGAATGAAACTTATGGAACAGAGATAATGTATTATATAAGAATCTGTTAGGACTAAACATTTACCAGGAGATAGACTTTTTATTAACTCTTTGTATAAATTCTAAAGCGTATCTTTATAGATTAGTCATCATCTATCACAGCAAATATGCAGTACACAAATATCCGTTTATATACATTACTTCTCTTTTGTTTCAAAATGTCGAGCAGAGTGAACTATTTCCACATAACTTAAACTTGTCCTTCTATTTATGAGAAAATTTTTTAATATGAACAATTGTAGGGTGTTTCATAAACATTCTTAAGTGCTCGACTTGACTAAGTCGAGACTTAAGTCAGAGTTAAGTGTATAAAATTAACACATAAGTGTACAAAACAAAGAGTTAAGTCTGATTTAAGTCTAAACTTAGTTAAGTCGAGCACTTAAGAATTTTTATGAAATACCCTCCTGGGCTTCAAATAGTGAAAAAACGAGATAAACACATATACATAATTTATAAAGTTAGTTTTTTCCACTTGACGCGATTGTTTTATTTTCATTTTTCAAATCATAATCAACACATTGACTCGGAATTGTAGGGTATAGTTTTTGTGCTTTACTTATCAAACGTTTAACAGCTTGAATATATTTTCGCTGTGTTTCATCGTTTAATACATGTGCAACATACTTTGATGCGATCTTTTCACGACCAGGACGTGGATGAATACCGACCATAGTGGCACCTAATGGCCATGGTGCATTACCAATAGCCATTTCAAGAAAATATTCATTAGCGCGTATATAATTACGTCTCAATACACAATTCACAATATTAATTAATGCTTCTAGAATATCATCTTGTAACGTATTCGATTTTAATTTTCGAAATAACGGTTTCATGTAGCCCAACGTCTGTGTGTGTAAAGCTGTTTCTATTTTTCCCTGTATGGTTTTTTTTTCATCAATATCACGTGCATTCAATTCTTGTGCCCATTTTCTCAGAGAAAATTTAAAATAATTTAATACTACTTGACAATCATACGCTCGATGACCTTTTCGTGTAGTTTTTATTTGTTCAATAATATCAGGTAAATCGAAACCTTCGTCTTTTACTTCGACGGTGATTACTGTTGGTGTTGCGTTTACATCTACTGATGCTTCATCAACTGTTGCATCTAATGATGAAGACGTTGGATTGGCATGTAAAATTAATGACAAATATTCACGATCAATTTTATCCATAGCTAAAATATGTAAAAAAGGTATTAAGTTAAACAAGGATTTTAAGACAATTGTACATATGAGGACAGCAAAACATTATCCGTCTCTCGTTTTAAATGACTAACAAAAAAATGATAAGGCTTTTTGTCTCAATTTACGACAAAAACTTCATTTACCTGCTTTAAAATCGTTTCGCTGCCCTTTCAATTCCGGTTCCATTGTTTCTAATAAACGTAAACGTTTGTACGAATCGATATCTGATTCACCAAAAAGACGTGCCGGTTGATTTCGTTCACGAAACTTTTTAATGATATCCGAACGTGGTGGTAATTGTTTTTCGGTTGATGTTATTTCATCTGTATTAAGTAATTGATTATTCAAAGGTGACAATTGTTCATTTGTACCCGATAAGATGGAGGAAGATGATTGTGATGTTTTTGTTAGATCAATATTATTTTTCGAATAATAATTTTTCCAATATGTTTCCTCATTTTTTGCTTCTAGATCACTACGCCGAAAACAACGCTTTTCTGGTAATAAAATATTTAACGATTCAACATTTTTACGTTTTTTCTCAATCTCAGCTTTTAACAAACTGAAGTCCATCTACAATAGCGAGAATACAAGTTGAATTTAAATTTCTCACAAATTCTGAAGTAAAGTATCCATTAAACGTAATCCTTGTAAGATGTTGGCTTGAAGCGTTGCATCTTTAAAGTATCGCAGCTGTAGAAAAACACAACGAAACAAAATTCACATAAGTTAGTCTTTTACAGCAACATCACTTATAGGAGGCGAGTATTTCTGTACTGGTTAAGTCTTAGCTGATTAACTCAAAATTTTTAAAACGACATAAACAAACAAAAAATTAGAAGATCATTGGCTTCTATGAATCGATCGATCATGCTTGTTTTTTAATTCTACCATGTGATTCATCTCAAATTTGTTTCTTTTATTTCGTTGTCAGAAAACTTGTACTAAAAGAAACTCATTCGAGAGGCCGTATGTGCGCATGAGATTAGTTCTGCAGACGGGAGGGTCTTTTTGTCTCTTCTTGGTTTCAACAAAAAAACAAGATTTTACTTAACGAAACACCATCACGTAAAAAATTCTTCACACTATTTGTGTACTTTCTGATTTATTTTATTTATATTATATATTATATTGTCACTTCTTTTTTTACTTAATTACTCAAAAGGTATTTGATGGATTCATCTTCACTGACGCATACAGTAACAATACGTAGCGTCATCTATATATTAGCATTTTAGCTTTTTTCATTAACTAATCCTAGCTTTCAATACTCTATTTTTCAATCGTACACTAATCTATGTTGTCAGAAATTTGTAGTTGAAAGATTTAAGACTACCTCTGTAGGTCGAAGGACCGATGCTAATGGAATCTCCAAGAGAGATAAATATATGAATAAAAACTATTTAATGATATTGATGAATTTTATAAATTGAACCTTTTTGACATAAGATGATGCGAAATTAGAAACGTTTTCACAAAACTGACTAATGTGTCTGTTTGCTTTCTCTAATAAGTTACGTATTACTTTCTGGTCACAAATCCAGTTGGACAAATCGAAACTTCGGGGCTTTATTTGTCCTTATGCATATTGTCTTTTACTAATCTATGTATAAATTTTCATGGTTAATAAAGACGCGTCTTTGAACAATTTCAATAATCTTTCTGGATAATAATAACTTTTTAGACATCTTAATTTTAATAGCAGTTAAATACACGTTTCTATTTAAAAATCAACCAAGTATTCAATATTATAAAGGCGTTCTTTTGACAGATGAAGCCAGTAAAATGATTTTCTCTTAATGGTCTTTTGTGTTTATCATGTCAGCCTAGACAATCATGTTTAAAGGTAGGTTAGCAAGAAACTTTTTTCAAATTTATTAAGATAAAAGAATTTTTACACCCCAAAACAATATATAACATGTTTTTGGTTGCTACCAACAAATATCTCATGAATTAAAAACATCTAAAAATGTTTTAGATAGCTTTATTGATGTTTTTATGTAAACTTTGTTTAGACGTAATAACTGAAAAATAGTTTGTGTTATGAATACAAATGTTTCTCCTTTTATTCGGAATATATGTATATATGAGTAATTCTGCACAGTTGTCCTTGATAAACTAAAAAAGTCAAGTACTAGTTGAGAAGGGCAAAAATGAGAAATATTTAATAAATTACACAATGTTAGAGAAAGCAGAGGCGTCATATGTATACAATTTTTGTTTTTTAAAGTATTAGCCTATCTTTAGTTCAGTAAGAGGAAGTGTGTAACAAAAAAAGAATTCTGTTTTTAATAATATTGTTTAGTTTTGTTAGATAGCTTAGATGTATATATGCCATCATTTGACCCTCTGTATTCCTAAATACTAGTAGTAGCATGTGACGTAGACTGAGAATGAATTATCACGCCACACTATGCAAAATTAAAAATTAAAAACTGTATGATTAGAAGAATGTGACAAGTTTTGTCACTTTATTGTGTTTAATAAAAAAATAGGTTTTATGTCTGATCGCAAGTATATATTTACTTAAACAACAATGTTTATTTTTCTGCTTTCTCTCTTTTGTTCATTATGTTTCTATTGTCCATGTATAGTTGTCTAGTGTTTTTTTGACCTTCATCAGAAGAATATCTCTAATCTTGACCGATGCATACTTTTATTCATTTTCTTTTTCCCATTACGCCTACTACAATTAGATGCGACACGTACAAGGAGTATTAATTAACTAAAAACTGAGGTAACTACCACTAGACATGCTGCACCTGTTTCTTATTATATAATGAATAGAGATGCGTGGGCCCAAGCTGTTTTGTTCTTATTCCCGCGAAGTTTTTTTTTGTCTGTAACACTAAGAAAAAAAAATTTCGTCGTTTTGCGACAAGTGTAACCACTGTTACTAGAGATGTGGATAGTCAGAGCGTAAAAAACAGCTGCTTGTCGCATAGTCACAATTTTGGTAAGAAGTAAACAGCTAGAAATTATCCTCTGATAAGAAAAGGGAGAATAATAGTCTGAAATTTCACTCTAAAGTAACAAGAAGAAAAAGAAGCATTTTGAGAGGAGTGCCAAGAAGAAGTTGTAGGAATGTTGCTAGAAAATGTTTGAATAGAGAAGATTAGTTGAGTTCAATGACTGGTGAAATGGATTCGACGTTTATCTCTGTAGAAGTCGTCGACAATATCTTGACTGTTGCATAGTTTTACGTATTGTTGATGAATATGAATGATCCAGTTCTTTAAAGAGAAACATAAAAGCAGAGTTCATGCTTTGAAAAACTTATTAAAATGAAATTTGAAGTTGTGGGTACATACTCTATTTGTACACCAGCAGGCTATGTGTCTCCGAGCTGTCCTTGTTGAGTTTTCCAAGAGAACACAAATACAAATATCGAGAATGGTCAAAATTTGCTTTCATTGCAAAAATTAAATATTCAACAGATAGTTTTGGAAGATTTATCTTCAAAATACATTATTTTTAAAAAATTTTGTTCCAGTAGAAAAAGCTTTACAAATTTTTTACGTGTACTATGTAATAGTTTTAAACCTTTTGGTCCCAATTCGGTACGACTTTTAAGAGAATGAATCAGTATGTCTCATAATAATCGTTGTCTAAGAAAAAATTTTTCTCATCAGATTGCTATTGAACTTTTAAAAGATGATGACAAACGCTGCTATACATTTTTCTCGTTTTTTTTTTCTGTTGAACGTACTTGCATTTTTTGTTCATACATTTTTTGTTTCATTCTTGTATAATAAAAGAAAACACAGTTATTCATATTTACTCCATGTGCCAACTATACGCACATATTTTTCATTCTTTAAAATTTTTCGATATTATGCCGTTTATCATTTTATAAAAAGTAAGTAAAATCCACATTCATGAATTTCAGAATCAATTCCTTATTTACAATTCCCTATTAGAGTAACACGAAGCTATTATGATATTTATATTTTTTCTTTTACTTTTGTTTTAGACCAAGAATTCGTGTTTATTACTGTTTTCAGTAAATTTTTCTTTTTCTTTTCTATTTTATGATTGAATTTTACTATTTTCTTTATTTGTCTGATTTGATATGAAAAAACAAAAAATAACCGTTAGGAATATGCAGCTTATCTTTGAGAAAAAAAAATAAACTATGATAGCATTTTATATAACATAAAAAAAACATTGTACTGGAAACAACAATGAGTTGGGGTGTTGAACTATGGGTAAGTGTTACATTAGAAGAGATTTAGTATCTTTTTTAAACTTTTTTTATGCTCTGTTTTATTTAGGATCAATTTGAAAATGTTTCAAAATTTACCGATAAAAGTATACAATTTTGTGAGAGATATGAATCATTTGTTAAAGATCGGTGTACAGTAGAAGAAGATTATGCTAAAGCTCTCAAGTAATAATTCAATTTTGTTCTTAAAAAGAAAATATGCTCTATAGATAGTTGGAATATCAACTTCTACTATCTATTTTCACTTTAACGCATTCAGTGTCCACAAGAAAACCTAAAACATTACCTATACGTCCTGAATCACATATGATACGTGGTGAAGGCCACTGCCTCTGTCGCGTGGAGTTCAGCAAATGTCTTAATTACTCTAATTTTGAGAGGTTATATAGAAATCTTTAAACGTACGGATATGTTTTTCACTAATCGTAACTGCAGTAAAGTCCAATAGAGTGTGAATAGAATATATTTGAAACTTCGCAGTGATCTGGATCGGTTTTGAGTAAATTATCAATTGTTTAGTATTCTATGAATAAATTCAGTTTTAACTAGGGCTTTAAACTTTTTTTCTAAAATCCGATATTGTCATGGAACTTCGCGTGGTCGATGACTTATGTTTCAATTCGTTCTCAAGATTACTATACGTCGGACATATCAAACTTGGATTTTGTGAAAGGATTTTTTACAAAATCCAGTGGTTGGTCTAAACGACGAAAAACTTCTGGATCGTTAAGATTTCTATTTTGAAGACGACATCTTGGACTATATATCAACCTTCGCTAAAAACCCTGAAATTTTTTCCACTAAACCACGTGCCTTAGTTAAATGCCAAAACTCAGAGTTCTCTACCTTCTGCTATATCTTATTCAAAAAATAGTGAAGTGTCTTTTAATTTGAAAGGGATAGAACGACTAGTATTTACATAAGATTTTACTGTATGTGACAAACGTAAAAGTTCATTGTAATGTAATCATACGTTTCTCATTTGTTTTTAGAAAACTTACAAAATCGTATCAGCCAAAACGAAAAGAAGATGAAGAATTTTATAGCAAGTAAGAGATAATTTAATATTATTATCTTCTAAGCTTCATTTTTTTTTACTATTCTATTTAGATATTCTTTTACGATTGCGTACACCAATACATTGAAAGAATTACAAGATTTAGCTAGTCAACATGAACTTATATCTGAAAATTTAAAAGAACGTGTTATTAAACAGATTCAAACAACCGTTAAAGAATGTCGTGAACAACGAAAAAAATGTCTGGATGAATATACCAAAATAAAACGTCAACTGGATAAACAACATGAACTGATGACAAAAGTATGAATGATTAAGTATTGTGATTAATAGTTATATATTATTTTTCGCTGTTGTTTCCAGGCTCTTAAAAAGTACGATGAAGCTTACGAATCTGCTCGTCGTGCTAAAGATGGCTATGAAAAGGCTCATGAAGATCTTGATCTGTCACGTGCTCAATTGGAAAAAGCACGTGATACAATGACAACAAAATCGAAATTATGCGATGAATCAAAAACAAATTATTCATTAAATGTTAAATCGTTTAATGATGTACAACGTATTTTCTATGAAAGACAATTACCATCAGTTTTAAATGAATTACAAGAGATTGATTGTAAACGTTCAAATGAATTAAAAGATTGTTATTTTAAATTTATTCAATCGAACATGGAAGTGTTACCACGAATTGAAAAATGTCTCGAAGAAATGCATAAACAAACACAATTAATAAATTCCATTCAAGATTGTAATCTCGTTATTGACGATTATAAATCGGGTTATTTGATACCAGATGATCAAAAAGAAATTGATTTAAATGATGTTGAATCAACATTTTCAACACTATTAAATAATAGTAATCAAAATCATAACAATAATAACATTACAGAACAACAACTGTACAATATCAACTTGAATAATAGTACATCACTCGATAGTGGAAACATTTTAGGACGATCAAATACGTTGAGAAGCACGGACAGTGATCACAGTCAAAATGGGCACACATTATATGTGGGAAGTGCTGGAGGACAAGTAAATGGAATTTTGAATAATAATAATACACAAATACTAGTTCAATCGACAAAAGGAACAGGACGAAAAGGAAAAGCAAATACAATACGAAAAATATTTGGAGGTGGAAGTCATGGTACACAACGAAAGGTAATTGGAAAGATATCAAAGATGTTGCATCTTTATCGATATGTAAAAAAGACCCATGTTTCTGTTGAGAAAGAGTACTAAAGAAACATGAGAGTTATCTCCAAAAAATGGAATCAGACACATACAGGAGTAGGTTGTTAGTCTAACTTTATATAATCATGTTAATCTGTAGTTCTAATTATCACTTATGTCAGATATTACTCTTCATTGAGTTTTCTTATTGTCTATGTTTAAAATTTCTGATGTTATATTTTACTTTCTTAGACTATTCTCGTAAGTAACACAAATAGTTCTTCGTTTTGTTGTGTTAGTGCTTTGGATGTGCTGTTTTTGATTAATGCAAGATTTATTTTTGTAGATGGATAATTTAGTTATAGTAAAATGAAATTTCTATGCACGTGCGAACTTAAATATCGACGTCTTAAACTACTATTAAGAATTCAAAAACTAAACTTTGATTACTTTCGAAACCAATATCCATAGAAATCATATGAAGTCTTCATTATTTAATTATCAGATTTAGAGAACAGCAAAAATAGTGTCAAAAAACCTTTTCCCACTTCCTAGTTTCTCAAATAGCATGAGTTGCCAGTTGCACCATGGTATGCAATATTCATGATTTGAGAAAGAAAAATAAAGTACCATTAATTCCAATACCTCAGAGGCGAAAAGTGTGCAGTTTGAGTTAAGAAAGAGTAGAGAACACTATTGTGTCAGCTTGTCATCAACCTTGGACAAAAATGTCTTCTCTCAAAATCCTGGATATTGCTTACCAAACTGCAACGCGCATCCTATGCCATTCAAGAAACTAGGAGATGGAAGAAGTTCTATGACACCACTTTTGCTGTTCTCTAAATTTAATAATCAAATAATAGAGACTTCATCGATTTTTCACGACTTCAGATGATTCTCAGAGTTACTCGAAAAAAGTCAAGTAGAACGTTCGTCATTTATACTTTCGACAAAAGCATTTTTTGACCAATGCATTGGTGACGAATGTTCCAGTTGACTATTTTCCGATTCTCCGTTTCTCATGGATCTTGACGTTGGACTAATAATGTCAGCCAATAATTATTCCAATTTTTCAAAGAAAGATATGAAAGTACTGTTGTAACAATCGAAAAACAAATCACTGCCGATTCCTCCTTGGGCTTTTTTAAGACCGCCTATGTATTTGGTGCACTCTTATTTAATTTTCCTTTGCACTTTATAGCATGTACAAATGTCGGTAGGCATGTACTCAGAGCTTTAATTATGTTGATCAAAGCAGAATCCTTCATTAACGCGTGTTTGTTAGATTAAGGGCTGTATGTTCGCGTTTAGTTTCTGTTTTGTCGATATGTTTTATTTTCTCTCTTTTTTTAGCCGAATGGGTCTAATTACGGTCAGATACCGGCCACCACACCTTATGGAACTCTACCACCTGCTCAACGTTTAAAGAAATTTCAAGAACACATTAACAGTTGTAAAGTTGACTTGGATAAAAAACAAAAGGCCAAGTATGTTTTTTTAAATTTCATCCTTTTGACAATAAATTGTGTCTTGTCTGCATATTTAGAGAAGGACTATTAAAAATGAAAGCTGTGTTTATGGAGAATCCAAAGTTTGGCCCTGAACAAGAAGTCAACGGACAATTGGTGGCCATTGATGAGCAAATTGAAAAATTAATTGCTGAAATAAAAAGATTTGAAGTAAGTGAAAATTATACCTAATCATGTTAAAAAAAATTGTCTAATTCTTTTTCAGTCTTACACACAAGAGTTGGAACGTTCAAGATTATCCGATGTCGATTCACGTTTACGTGCTAATTACGGTTCTGATTTATCTATTGGACAAACAAGTATAAATTCTAATCCAGGAACACCCGCACAAAATCGAAGGTAAAATAAATATATTGTTATTTTATTCATTTTTCAAACTTTTTATTTCAATGTGCACGCAATAAATTGACAGTTAAGTTACACACATGTCATTCACTCTAGCACAATGTATTTCCGTCCTAATTATGTTGCATCAGCAGCATACACAAATTTTAATCATCATCTATTATTATCATCATCAAATAATTTTATAAAAGCGACTATAAATAATCGGCGATGGTCGACAATCGGGTAGGATTAATGATGATAAATGATGATAGTTTGCATGATTCTATAACTTCTGATGTATCAAACATTCATTGTCAAATCACATACGCACTCATTTCATCAGTTACACATTTTCACTCAAATACACTTGATATATTTCTTTTAGCATTCCAGATTATGATATACGCTATGCACTTGAGCCAGTTTATCATATCTATCAACCTTTAAGGTTTGTTCTTTCCAAATATTTTTTCTTTCATACAATACAAATACTATCTTTCATGCTTTAATTGGAAAACAAAATTATTGCTATTTGCTTCAATACCTTATCAGTGAAAATATAACATAAAACTAGTTTTATTTTTCATTTTTTTGGTATTGGGAGGTTATATTGCCTGCAAGCACTGACATTATGGGAGATTTTGTAAACTTTAGTAAAAAACATAGGCTCTATCCATTATAGCCATGGTTTTCATTCTATGTAAGATTTTATTAAATACATAGCTGTTCATCCCTGTATGAAGTTATTTTCTTTCATAATTAATGCCTATAGATCTGCACTAATTATTTATCGCTTTCTTAAAAATCTATCTATCTGTTATGTATAACTTGTTTTTAAAATAGTAACCCATTTAACAACTACTTTTTGCTTGCAAGTCTCTTATGAATTATTTCTTATATGTATATTCATTGTTAAAATTTATATAGTATATTCTCTAATATTTTCTAGCCCACCAGATACATCTGATCATGGTACACCTAATCAACAACAACTACAACAACCTTATAATAATAGTAGTAATACAAATCATTACAATCATTCATCAACCTACCAGCGTTTACCGTCAGTAAATTCAACAACAATCGAACACACATCGATAAATCTTTCATCAAGACCAACGAATGATCATCATTCACCGTCGTATGATCGTTCACTGAATGCATCATTCGATGAAGAAGAGCATTCGATAAGCGAAGATTCATCATTACCGCCTCCCATACCCCTAAATGTACATAATCATTCAAATATTCCTGTTGAACATACAATGCAATCAAAGGCACATGTTCTCTATGAATTTAATGGTAAGATCCATAATTAATTAAAATATTTCATTCTAAATAGAAAGTTTTGTTTCTTATCTAAGGTAATGGCAGCAACGGTCAATATGTAAACGCTGTATCCATTTATGCAGGCGAAACGGTTTATATTCTTGAATATGATCAAGGTGATGGATGGACGCGAATACAAAAAGTTGATGGTTCAAGTGGTTTTGTACCATCATCTTACATTAAACAAATAAGACAAGATGACGAACCAACAACAACATCCTTTGAAACTGGTCGATTTTAATGTTAATATTATTTTTATTTCATTCATTTTGTTTGTTATTTGTATGTTTTATATGATGATACTTCTATCTGTACACTATGTGGTTGGATTTTTTTTTTGTCAAATTTTACGCTGTTGAACAAAAACTATCTGTCAAGGAATGTAATACTTGTCCACTTAATATTCGTTTTTTCTCTCACTTTTTTCCTCATGCGTGTGTATCTTTATAGTTTATACTTATCAGAAAGATTTTTCTCATTATCAAGAAATCATACGTTTTTCTATTTCTATGCGACGCTGGTCGTCTTTAAATCAGACTAGTCAACAAAATAACTCAAACAGAGGTTGAGAGATAAGTCTCTTTCGGTCAGATACATGAGTTTGAGAATTGAGTTAGATTAAACCGAAAAATTTCTGTCACCTCTATCCTTATTGGAGATTATATTTGAGGCAAATTTCGTTTGAGTTAAAGTTCATATAATTGGATCTTGATCTTTTATTTATTTGTTATATTTGTGTGTGTGTCCAACACTTTTGCACGTTCATATTTATTGTCTTTTCGCTCATTTTCTGTCTTATTCTTCTTCAACGTTTAAACAAAACAAAAAACCGTTTAACAACTTTCCATTTTTGAAGAAATTTGCTTTTTTTCTTCGCGAACAGTAAACAAAACGAATGAATAAATAGAAATTTATTGTTATTGTATATTTGTATTTGTGCCTATTATTCATTAGGAATTGACATCTGTACGGTAAACTTGCCTTGTATGTGTATTGACACTCGACCAGTCAACTTTATTTTTATAAAAAAAAAACAAGAAAAATTGTAGTATTAGATGAAAATGAACTATCAAAAATCTAGCATATCCCTAACATCATCTTTGGTTGATTTCTACCTCTCTCTTCTTTTATATGCATGAATCAAACGCGTTGTTGTTGTTATTGTTGTTGTTTTTATAACTGTGGGTGTTTTTTGTTCGTTTCTTGGCATATTCAGTAGTACCGAAGTCTAGACAATTGTTTCTTGTACTTTTGTTTATTTGTTTTTATATATATACATATATATTATTTACAATACAGATATTATTCATACATTCATAGAAATTCAATAAACTGAACTTAT